ACTATTAGTATTAGTATTAGTCAGAAATAGCTAAACCACCAGGTCAAACAGACTTTCAGACTTTCAGGGGGACATACTCAGTCACATAGACCTTATCTGCGTCACTGACACTTTGACTGTATCAGTGACAGTGTATAATTATGCGTGTTGGCCAGCATTTGTGCGCGGAGCACACTGTATCTTGTATCTTGCCCCTTGGCACCCTCTCTTCGAGACTCTTGACTTATTTCCCAAGGCACTCGATTCAACCATGATTCAACGAGGTGCGGGGATTATCGAGAGAAAGGAGAGATTAGAAAAAGGAGATCACTGGCTCAACTTACATCGTGGGCGACTCCAAGCAAGCAGACAACTTTTCCGTGATACTTAGGCATCATAGATGCATTAACTCTCACTTTCACTTCTTGAGTCCAACTCTGATCTGATTCCATCTTTGTAATTAATAATATTGAATAGCGCGCGAAAGTTTATACCTCCTAATGAGAGTTTTCTCGCGATGAGCCACCTTGCGTTTAGATGGGTTCCGTCACGTTAGTTCAGCAGTACTTAGACTAATCATTACTAGTAGTGACTACGTAGTTTATGACCATGTACTCGTATATCAACCAAATACTAAACATATGATGTAGATTATCACCAACTAAATAACAACAAATTGTATAAAATCTGTCGCACAAAATTATTTTTCAATATAAAGCAGACTCTATGTAATACTACTCGAGAATGATGTTTTGTAGTGTAAAAATCTAAAATAACAGCGGTTCGCCGGTTTCCAACGAGAGGCGATACACGGTCGCGAGTTGTTGAAGTGGTAGTCTTTGTAATATATTATTCTACCGTGGTTTTGTTGCTATATTTTATGTATATTAGGTTAGTAAAAGTGTAGTAAAGGAAAAGTAAGACCACACATCACCCGTCAGCAAATTTTTATCTGCTGAGATGATAAAAGCGTTGATACGTACTTCAAAAAAGCCAAAGAATAAAAAGATTATGTCACCACGACCAGTGGCAATGGGTTCTTATCATTCTTCACAAGCTGTTAGTATCGCTTCAAACACTCGCGATGATTGTGTTACTGTAGATGGTTTCGTACTAGTTCCTAATAGTAATGATCTGGAAGAATTGCCGTCACGAAAACTAAGTGATGTTCGTGGATTTAACGATCAGGTAACCGTAATGCTAGTTATTCATTGTACTGCGCACACTTACAGTTACACTACTGACTATGGCACACATGAGCAAATGGCAAAAAACTCCTGCTGCTGCTTTTAAATAAATTGCTGTAAAAACGCTCTATGTATAACGATAATATAATAAAGAAATAATATACACAGCATATTATACGAACGTAGGTACACAATGATCACGTCTGATGGCTGACCGTAGCCTTGCACGTTTTGGTTAGATGGGTTCGCGGCCCCACTGTTTCTGACAGGCGGTCCGAGTTTAGCGCTGGGGACTAGTCTACTTCCTGGCTAGCATTGGTTTATAATTTTATGACGTAATGGCGATGTCACGTGCTGATGGAAACGGCTGTGATTGGCCATTTGTAAAGTGTTGCCGGCGACAGTCGCTGGAAAATAGAAACGTTTCTAAATATTTTTGTCGTCGAGGTTGTTGCCGGTCGTTGTCGCGTCAATGTGCAATGGCTCATAGGAAACAATAGTTTCTTATTTTCTGAAAAGTCGTTTGTCGTTACGGTTGGTCGTTGTCGCTGCAGTGTGTCTTGGCCTTAAAGCCGGCCAAGACACACTGCAGCGACAGCGACCGACCGTAACGACAAAACGACAAAAGTCGCGGCGACTGGCGCAAACACACTGCAGCGACAGCGACCGACGTCAAAGTTCACCCAGCACTCGCCACAGTGGTACACATCATCACATGAACAAACGGCAAAAACTCATGCTAGTGCTTTTAAATAACAGGCTGCAAAAACTCTCTAGGCATAAGGATAATCCGATAAGATATTAAAGTAAAATATAGGCAGCAAATTATCATGTACTGTACGTACTGTGTCTAGCTTGCGACAGGCCCACAGCTTGCACGCTTTGGTTAGACTGGTTCGTGGCCCCATTGTTTGTGACATGCGTCGCGAGTTTAGTGCCGGAGACCAGTCTACGTCTTGGCTAGCATTATGGGTTATTTATGACGTAATCGTAATGTCACGTGCCAATGGAAACGGCTGCGATTGGCTATTTGTAAAGTGTCGCTGGAGAATAGAAACGTTCCTAAATATTTTTGTCGTCGAGGTTGTCGCCGGTCGTCGTCGCGTCAATGTGCAATGGCTCATAGGAAACAATAGTTTCTAATTTTCTGAAAAGTCGTTTGTTGTTACGGTTAAGTCGGCACTTTTGAGACCAGCATTTTTGTGCCGACTTACGAAAATGACGATATACGCGTAAGTCGTCATTTTGTTGACTTATGTGCAAGCCTATGCATGTACACTAGGTTGAGTTAGCTATAAATTTGAACTGGATTGAGCGAGACTAGCCTGCATATGTGTTTCTGCGAAACGATGAGTCATAATTTTACCAGGAATTCGCTGTACATTGGGCTGCATACACTGCGCCATCAGCATTTCTGATGATGACATACAGATAGGATTTTACTGTTGTTTGTATTACATGGGACCTGTCTGCTGCTTAAAATATAGCTATGTAAACAAGTTAAGGATACTCTCCACGTTGTGCGAGATATAAGATACTAACAATGACGCATACATTCTTATTTTGAAGATTCATGCGGGTTGCTACGTCTGCCAACTTTCTTGACATTTGCTGAAAAATACTGTAATTCTGTAGACCGTGCTCTGGCGAACTAGTTGTATGCAGAATTTTCAGGTATTGACTCCAGACTCCCATTAATTCGCACCCTGTTATAGTATATATATATACATGAAAAATCATAATAAAATTCACACGTTTATTTTTGCATGCCGGCACGCTCATTGTGTCATTCCTGATTGCCGCTTATTTTCCGTCATTCCAGGAAAGATTTTGGCTTCGCGCTCCTCATCCCAGCAGTGGCCACCTCCTACATATTCAGTAATGAACATGCCACCGACTTAATCAATCGTGCAGCCACCTCTACCATCGTCTGTACATCAATCAATGCCACCCCAGCCAGGCACATACAGTCACACTATGTGCACTGGCGCTCTATTAATTAATCTGTAATGGTAAAAGTGGGTGACACGGGTGTTACGGGCTACTTTTTTCGGCAACCTTTGAAAATATAACGTGAGACTGTTGAGCGATAGCAAACTAGAATTTTTCCCTTGTCCGATCAGGCAACTATAGCCACTTGACTTGAGAGAATAACTGAGAGTCTGACACACTTTCACTTGTCACGGGCAATCGGACAACCGTTATAGTGTCGAGGGCTGAAATACGACATAGATTGAAGGAATGTGGGGGTGGCATAGTTTATTATGGCGCAAATCCACTTTAGGCACCTTAGGTATCACGAAGTGATGCACAGATTTCTGTGTATCATCAACTGATGCAGCAGACTTTCCGTATATCAAGAATGATGCAAAAACCCTCACCTAAGTCATAAAGACTGATAATATTAGAACTTAGGTATCACGAAAGTGTTGCTAGGGTTTAGGTTGGGCTAAAGGTTTAGGGTAGCTCTATACTCATAGACCGCGCATGCGCTGGCAGCGGGATTGCGGCCATGCGATACCGGGCTATAGTAGGGTTAGGGTTTAGGCGTTAGGCGTTTTTTTGCATCATTCTTGAATACGGAAAGTCTGTGGCATCAGTTGATTATACACAGAATCTGTGCTCACTTTCCGTGATACCTAAGTCGTAGTATTGCAAACCGGTTTTTATTACTCATAGCGCTAGCCGTGTAAGATGTGCGCATAAAATCACACAGTCAACTCAGTCTGAGAGCACATGCAAGGCCTTTTGGAACGTCCTTCAATAAAAAAAAAGTAAATAAACAGAAAATTAATTTACTACCAAGTACCTATCTTATTTTTCGGTACAAGTAGCGTTACACACCCATCGTCGTCGAGTTTGGTTATGGGTTAGGTTTAGGGTTAGGGTTGAGGAGAGGGGAGAGAGGAGCGGAGGTAGAAGGGAAGAGGAGAGAAGAGGGAGGGGAGTGGGGAGAGGGGAGAGGAGAGGAGAGAGAGAGTAGAGAGGCGGAGAGAGGAGGAAGGGGGCGTAGGAAGAGAGGAGAAGAAGAAAGGAGGAGAGAAGAATGACAGAGAGAGAGGGTTTTTAAACCTGAGGTTGTCAAATAGAGCAATGGGCCCATTTTTTCTCTACTGCTACTTTCGCCTAGTTCAATAAGTATTAATTTGCCAAAGATTAATCACCGCTGGTAAATGCCGGGTCAATATGCTCATCCTGCAACAGCCACAACTACATCCGCAGCGTGACGCCCTGTCCACAACCACAACATTAATAAGAGAGCTTATTCGGCTGACCTCGCTCAATTTCACGACGATTACAGAACACAATAATCACCAATCCTATCCACCTCTTGGTATCTATGTCACAGTATGTGTTGTTGGGTACATTTTTTATTTGTATACTAGGATTATCGAGAGAAAGAGAGAATATAGAAAAAGGAATCACTCGGCTCAACTTTACATCGTGGGCGACTCCACACAAGCAGACAACTTTTGCCGTGATACTTAGGACATCATAGATGCATTAACTGCTCACTTTCACTTCTTGAGTCAAATCTGATTGATTCCATACTTTGTAATTAATATATATTGAAATAGCTGGCCGCGAAAGTTTTACCTCCTAATGAGAGTTTTCTCGTGGCGATGAGCCACTGCCGTTTTAGATGGGTTCGTCACGTTAGTTTACAGCAGTACTTAGAACTAGTCCATTACTAGTAGTGGACTACGTGTTAGTTTAATGACATGTACTCGTATATCAACGCAAAATATCTAAAACATATGATGTAGATTATCAACCAACTAAATAACAACAAAATTGTATAAAATCTTGTCGCAAGCAAAATTATTCTTTCAATAATATAAGCAGACCTCTATGTAATACTACTCGAGCATGATGTTTTTGTAAGTGTAAAAATCTAAAAATAACAGCGGTTGCCGGTTTCCAACGAGCAGCGAGAGGCGATATCACGGTCGGAGTTGTTGAAGTGGTAGTCTTTGTAATATAGTTATTCTAATCCGTGGTTCTTGTTGCTATATTTTATGTATATTCAAGTTAGTAAAATGTAAGTAAAAGAATAAGTAAGACCACACATCACCCGTCGGGGCAATTTTTATCTGCTGAGATGATAAATCCGTTGATACGTCTTCAAAAAAGCCAAAGAAATTATAAAAGAGTTATGTCACGACGACAGGGCAATGGGTTTTATATTCTTCACAAGCTTGTTAGTATCGCTTCAAACACTCGCGATGATTGTGTTACTGTAATGGTTTCGTACTAGTTCCTAATAGTAATGATCTGGAAGAATTGCCGTCACGGAAAACTAATGATGTCGGTGGATTTAACGATCAGTAATCGTAATGCTAGTTATCATTGTACTGCGCACACTTACAGTTACACTACTGACTACGCAACACAGTAAAACTAAAAGTACTAAAACTCGCATAAAGTCCAAGGCACACTGCAGCGACAACGGACGGGCAACCGTAACGACCAAACGAAACAGTCGCGGCGACTTGGCGCAGCAAACACATCTGCAGCGAACAACGACCCGCCAAAGACCGTAACGACAAGTTCACCGCCAGCACTCACCACAGTGCCAGTGCAGTGGCACACATGAGCGCAAAACGAAGCAAAAAGAATCCTGCTGCTGCTTTTCATATAATGCTGTTAAAAACGCTCTATGTATAACGATAAATATATTAAAGAACAATAATATACACAGCATATTATACGAGACTTAGTACACAATGATGCACGTCTGATGGCTGACCGTAGCCTTTGCACGTTTGGTTAGTATTGGGTCGCGGCCCACACGTTTCTGACAGGCGGTGCGAGTTGTAGCGCTGGTGTACTCATCTAGCCTTCCTGGCCTAGGCATTGTTTATAATTTATGAATGTAGATGCGATGTCACGGCTGCCGATGGAGAACGGCTGTGCTTGCCATTTGTGTGTCGCCCGGCGACAGTCCGCTGAAAATAGAAACGTTCTTAATATTTTTTGTCCGTCGGAGGTATCGTGGTCGTGCGTCAGCGTCAGTGTGCAAAATGCTCATAGGAACAATAGTTTCTTTATTTTCTGAAAAGTCGGTTGTCGTTAACGGATTGGTCGTTTCGCTCACGCGTTCTTGGCCTTAAAGCCGGCCAGACACACTTGCGCAGCTAAGACAGCGACCGATCCGAACGGACAAACGACAAAAGTACGCGCGACTGGCGCAAACACACTGCAGGGCGACAGCGACGCGACTTAGTCAAGTTACCCAGCACTCGCACAGTGGGTTAACAAACCCATCCCATCCAAAACTGAAAATCGGCAAAAACTATGCTAGTGCTTTTAAATAACAGGCTGCAAAACTCTGCTAAGGCATCAAGGATTAATTCCGATAAGATATTAAAGTAAAAATATAGGCAGCAAATTATCATGTACTGTACGTGATGTGTCTAGCTTGCGACAGGCCCACAGGCTTGCCGGGCTCTAGAGGGTAGCCTGTGCGCGGCTTCCCTGCGTGAGGGGGGGTAGGACGGTTGTAGGTCTTGACTACTGCTTGGTGTATGGCGTTGTTTGCGTGCTGGAAGCTGCGGATTAGCTATCAAAGGCTTGTGAACCCGGCGAAGCCTCGTCGTTGTAGGGCTGTGCGCGACGCGGCGCCGGTGCCCAGAGGTGTCAGGTGGGGACGGCACCGTGGCTGTAGTGCTCGGCGCTGATAGGGTATGTCGAGCTGACACGAGTGGCGTAGTGCAGGCGGGCTGAAGGCGCCCGCTGCGATCCGCGGGAGATTCGGCGACAAGGGGAGGTCGGCGTATGCTTTGGTAGACTGGTTCGGCCTGCCATTGTTTTGTGACATGCGTCGCGAGTTTAGGCCGGAGAGGCCAGTCTACGTCTTGGCTAAGCATTATGGGATAACTTTATGACGTATCCGTAATGTTCCGTGCGATGGAGAACGCTGCGATTGGCTATTTGTTAAAGTGTCCCCGCTGGCGACTGTCGCTCGGAGAATAGAAACGTTTTCTAATATTTTTTGTCGTCGAAGTTGTCGCCGTCCGTTGTCGCCGTGTAGTGTGAAATGGCTCATAGGAAACAATAGTTTCTAACTTTCGTGAAAAAATTGTGTTGTCGTTACGGTCGCGTCCTGTCGCTGCAGTGTGGGCTCTGGCCTTAAGTCGGCACTTTTGAAGACGCAGCATTTTTGTCGCCGGACTTACGAAATGACGATATAAGCGCAATAAGTCGTCATTTTGTTGACTTATGTGCAAAGCCTATGCATGTACACCATGCGAGTTGTACGTTGAACTGGCATTGAGCGAGACTAGCCTGCATATCGTTTTCTGCGAAACGATGAGTCATAATTTTACACAGAATCTCGCTGTACATGGCTCACACTGCGCCATCAGCATTTCGATGATTGACATACAGATACGGATTTAACTGTTTGTTGTATTACATGGGACCTGTTCTGCTGCATTAAATACTAGCTGACTGGTAAACAAGTTAAGGATACTCTCCACGTTGTCACGGTCATGTGCTCTAAGTGAAGATTAAACGTTTATCTGGCAGAATGAATCGAATCAATCAACTTGTTTTATTTATAGAGGAGATATATCTCTATGCCTCAAGCCAAAAATTTCATGAAATTCCCAGCACCTAATTATGGTTACACAGCATTTTGAATTTTAATGTAAAAATGGTATTTTTGGATATTTCTCAACTACCAGTAAGAGGTGATAAGAAAATTTTTGCCACATGTTATGCACAATATGGCACCAAAATAGCGGCGTCAGGATTTTTTTGAATTTTCATGTTACACGAGAAAACTCGAAAAACTGCTTAAAAAATCTAAGTTGGTGTGTTAAAATAGAAATTTTATGCGAATAAAGAGGGCATCAGGGGGATCCAGGGGGGGGTGCAGGGGGTGCGCACCCCCCCCTAAAAATGTTGAGTTGCCCTTTTTTCTGGCCCACAAATTTTTTTTTCTCCAATTTAAAAAAAAAAGAAGATTTTTAAGCAGAAAAAAATACTGAAAAATAAGTTGATGTTTTCCGAGGAGTTTTTTAGGGGGACGGGGGGCTGACGACTTGTTTCTGGGCTGCGACAGATCGCCGCAAGCTGCGCCACCCGTTGATTGCTTTGTTATAGACCTGGTAACCTCCTGGGTAATAACCCCCTCTAATTTTGCTTTAACAATAATTTTCATTCTGAATAGTTTTCGATGTTATCTTTGCATTTTATTTACTTAAAACGTAGTTAGTTACATATTATTATTCTCTCTGGCAAGAGCCCACTCATTGGTCTAAATTTGGTAAAAGTAAGTAGGAACTACTGCACAGGGTCGGTAGCGGGGTGGGGAATCCAGGGGGTTCGGACCCCACCTGCTCGCGCAGAAACCATCTGAGGGGTCTAATTTCAAAATTTTTCTGGGGGAGGGCCCCCGAAACCCCCCTTCGTGTGCTCCGCAATTTTGGGTTAGCGTTGGACCCCTCCCTGGTACAAATCTCGTACACGGCCCCTGTGCGCAAGAGTAATAATGAGTATGTTTTAGTAAGATATATATCAGTCATTGAAATTCAAGTTGAAGTTCAAGGTTTATAGCAAAATAGTATGAAACGGAAAGCATATAAATTAGTACATGTAATGATTTTAATTTTCTTTTGTAAAATACGTGTGTTCAATCATATCGCAGTTTGATTTCACGGGTTACGTATTTTGTCGCTCTGATGGCAGTTAATTTCAAGCAGCTTGATGGTTTTTGTGGCTTGTGGATTTTGCCTTGTACTGGATTGTCTGTTTCATTGCTATGACAAGACTTGAAGTACAAAAATTTCGCCTCATATCTCTGAAAATGCATAAAAAGGAGTCTGATTTTTAAAAATTTTAAAATCGACCCCCCACCGGTTCCTTCACACCTGCGGGTCCTCGGCCACACGAAACGGCGCGCAGCCGCCGCTTCAGTTTCCCTCTAACAAAATTCTCAAAGTGCCTTTCCACCCTGCACCCCCCCCCCCTAGACAAAATCCTGCATCCGCCCCTGGGCATAACTAATAAAGTACGGCACTTAATACACAATCGCCTGACGCGCTTTTTTTACCACAATATGTTTACCATTAAAACGAGTGTGTAAAATTAAATTAATCCGAGTTGTAATCAAGAGAAATATCCATTTATACATCGGCTACTGTCAGGAATCGAAACGGAGAATCAGCGTTTTTCTATTTTTCACAATGATGACCGCACTCGTGTGCAAAATGGGTGAACGTATGTGATATATCTATTGTTAGTACTTACTGCGACATATCCATGACTAACTGACACCACTAAATTGGTAAAATGTTACGCGGGCAAGCAAAAACGCTCTGACAGTTCACATGTACCGTTTATTGGAAAATTAGCATGTACACACAGTGGCACATAGTGTTAGCCATCGAATAAAGTTGAAAACGAAAAATCGATGAAATTTTCATGCACAACGTGGAGAGTATCCTTAAGCCATTTCAAAATTGTGTGAGCTAGTTCTCGTTTGAAACACCTCCATTCATAAGCTTTCTTACAACATGGTTAGTTAAGCAAGTGCTTTATCTTTTGCTTTCAGGTTGCCAGCCCTCGATCGATAAAGCTACCACCTGCACCTTCTCGACCATTGCTGGCCATAGATGGTATGTATGAAGTCATTCAGACCAAATCGTTTGGACCATGGTTCCTAATTGTGGTACCTTGCTAATAAATCAATAAATTTCTATAACATTTTTATCAGGGCTGTAGGCTGCGTGGGGGGGGGGGCAAGGGGGGCAGCTGCCCCCCTTAGATTTTGGAGCAAAATTAAAAAAAATAATTTCTAAAAGAGAATTGTCGTAGTCAGAATGAAGGCTGTACATAACATGTACGCAAAAGTGGCTCAAATACCATCTCCTGCAATCTACATTTTCAAAATTTCCTTTGGGAGGACCCACAGACCCCCCACCTGTTTTTTAACCCACCCTTTAAACCTCGAGGCGCCACCCGCCCCCCCCCCGCATTTTTTGTGTGTTTGTGCCCGT